CTTTGCCTCTGCAAATATAGTCTGCCTTTAAATGTTTATATTACCTTCCTGGTATCTCCATTCTAAAGATCTCCACTCCTGCTTATGGTAGAAATTTGTCTCTCAGAAACCAGCAGTTACATACGAAGGCTCTTGGGTACAGCACGCAAGTACTTTGCACCATGTCACTTATCTTTATTCTTTTTGAGGTACAATCTGCTTTAGGTGAGTAGAGTACCTAGACACATCATGGAGTGCAGTAGGCATAAGCATAGGGGAGAAATTCTGGTCAAGTCAGTCGTGTCATCTGTCTCATTGTGTTGTAACTTGAGCTGAAAGACTGGAAAAAGGAGTCAACTCTTAACAGTTTAAATTAATTTATGATACATGTTGAACTAAAATTTGATTTCCATTATGCTGATCCCTATAGAGAGGGAAAAAATGCTAGGTTTGATGGAATTTGGAATTTAATTGGAGGAAAGAAAATATGTATATACACACACGTGTAGTATAACTTAAAATTGGAGAATGTGTGCAATGGTGTAAGTGCTGAAAGCACTCATAGAACTCTTTGCTGTAGTGTTTTATGCATTAACTGCTGGGTGGTAGATAAGCACCATTTAGGAAATAGTAAAAACCTATGCATCCATTGATTTTTCAGGTGGCCTGGATGAGGCTCTCTATAATGTTATAGCTATGGCACAGGAACAGCAAATTCCTTTTGTTTGCCCTTGGAAGAGGTGTAATAAGGGTTGCTCATTGACGATTGGGTCAATGACAATCTGAATTGTGTTTCTTTCTTTTTTCCCCCATGCTTTCCTTCAAAAAATTAAGTAATTACATGAAAATATTAACATTTGAAAACTCATCGTGAACTTCTAAAACCCATCCATTACTGAGATTAAAGTATTGAACCTAATCTCAGCACATAAAGATACATTTTTAAGTTTAATTCAACATACTCTGTACATTTTTTGCTTTTGTATATATAGCAGTGTTGTTTCTTTTATTTTTTTTTAAGAGAAGAGTAACTTTAGAAATATCTACCTTTCATTTAAGTAGCATACATTTCTTAAGAGCGATGACCATTGCTCTCTCTCCTAAAAATAGCAAGGAGCGGGCCATACTACCTCAGAATCCAAAGTGATATGTATGGGCTTATTATACATGTCTATGAATACTTTGGGGTCCATGAATTCTTCGGTGTTACATAAATACTTTATGATTTGTTCCGGGAGGAGTAGGTCAGGTGCAAGTTGATGCAAATTATCACCTGGTCCTTTCACACCCACTTTTATAGTCTTAAAAAGATGGAGTGCTAGTTTATGAATTTGGGTGAGAAAGTCTGTGATAACCTCTTCTAGGGATTGTGATTGTGTCACATCATCAAGATACATAACTGGTGCTTTTATGACCGAAACATGCCATTGCATGAAGATCCTGGTTGGGATGTTATGGGAGATAACTATAATTTTCAGTTCTTGGATCAGAAATTCTGTCCCACTCTTTTCTTGCTTAAGGTAATCTAACAGAATCCGGTACAGAGTACCATTGGAGGACTCAAGGATGTGCAGGATGGAAGTCGGGTAGATGAGCAATAGTCCTGTCACTGCTTCTCCCAGGTGATGTTTCAGAATGGACTGAAACAGTTGTTCATAGTATTCAGAAATGTATTTTTTTTCAATGTTTGCTGGTATGTTGGCCACTAGAAACATCCTGTGAAGGAGGAATTTCTTTAGCTGTAGTCTTTGTTTCTCCTCCAGAAAGTACAAGTAATTGCTTCGTGGAACTTGGGGCAATAAAAGTGACTCCAATGGTAATGGCCTTTTGCTGTTCTTCCGGACATGGCTTATGAAGGACATGATGAGTCTTCTTTATTTTCATGGATGACTTCAGTGTTTAGCTTATTCCAGTATTTGTATGATCAGGATACTTCTTAAGAGAGATGAATTCTTACTTTTATTTCTTTAGACCAAAAAAAAAAAAAAGTAAATCAAGTGGGTCAAATGTTACTGAATTGCAAAAATCTCTTTCCAGTGTTATTAACAAATAGTGTGTTTTAAATGAAAGAGAATATTAGAACAATACTCAAACTATAGATATTTTTTAAAAATTTATAATGAAATAACTAATAAGTTCTAATCTAATAATCTCTAAATAACTAATTTCTCTCGTAGGGGAGAAAAATAACTCTCCCAATATAATGATGATTATAAATGGTTTGTATTTTCCATTTTCTTTTTTCAAAGGTATTTTGTGTTAGCAAGTGTATGGAGGTTAAGGTAGCTGGTGCAGTTTGAGTCCTGTGTCTGGTGGCTTAAAAAATACACCTGGAAGGACCAGCAGTTAGCATAATGGCTATGTCACTGGACTCTCACGTAGTCAACCACGGTTCAAGTCCCGGACCCAGTGACTTAAACTCATGCTGGGCACATGTACGTGCATGCCCAAGATCCCAAGAGGAAAATAGAGGAGAAAGAATTGCAGTGTGGCCATCCCCCCTGGAGGGAGATTTCTCGCTTTCTGTCTGTCTCTCTTTCTGGTGAGTGCACGCACCCTATGGCAAAATCCTCTCAAAAACAACAACAACAAAAAAAAACTAAAGATTTTTAATTCCTCCAAATTTTTAAATAAATTTAACTCATCTATAAAATTAAAAAGAAATCTGTAAATGGAAATGCCTAGAAAATAAAACAAAACAAAAACAAAACAAAGAAATCTGGTGCTCTTTAAGTCCTAATTAACTGTTTTTAAGAAAAGTTTATCTACTTTTCTGAGAGAGAGAGGAGGAAGGAGATAGAAGAAGAGGAACAGAGATACTGAGAGAAGACTTCCTGGACAGGGTCTTCATGCTATAACCCTCCCCCCAACCCTGCAGCCCAGTGGGATCAGGGCATGCCCAGCAGGTTTAGGCAGACCTGGGATGACAACCCTGAGCTTTCTCACTTGGTCTCCTCCATCAGCATCAGCACCCGGGCACTAGTTAAGCTTCACTCAGGAAACTAAACACTAATAGTGTTTCTTGAATAGTACCAGTAAACTTTTCAGGTAATAGGTTTTAATTCTTTTTTTCTCTGATCAACAAATCTCAGAAATGATTTTTTTTTCTAAACACTAATAGTGTTTCTTGAATAGTACCAGTAAACTTTTCAGGTAATAGGTTTTAATTCTTTTTTTTCTCTGATCATTTCTCAGAAATGATTTTTTTTTTTCTTTTTGGTTACTATTGTAACAGTTCAATTAAAGTATTCCTTAACTTTAACTTACTCTTCTTACAATTTTTTTTTTTCCAGGTTAAAATTTCTTTCTCTCTTCTTCTTACGCTCCTTTTCTTTACCTGCCTTAAGGTCCTGTTTGTCCTTCCTCAGGCTTCCAACTGTCACTGCTTAGGTGCTCCTCATATCCCCTGTTCTGACTTCCACAGGGCTTAGTCAGAAGGCCAGGGACCTTAAAGGGCCAGTGCACACTCACAACTCCACGTCTTAATTTACCAAAACTATCTCAAGACAAACATCTCTGTAAAGGAAGCGAAGACTTCTCTCTCTTAGATTAGTGCATTTGCAAATGAGACAGATGGTGGTCCTGACCTTTTTTGTTTGTTTGCTTTCCTTTAGTTAAACAACATGTATGGTTGTAGAACTCCTCTGTGTTTTATGTACTAAAAACTATGAAAACACATATCTGGATCTATGTAATCGTGAATCTAAGATAGTTCTGTAATAGAAGTTTTCTTTAATATGAATTTAATTTTTAGAATAAAATTCAGTAATACCATCTCTTTTGAATTTTTAAGTTTAATTTTTTTTTCATGAGAGACAGAGAGAAAGGGTACTCCCAAAAGCATCTTGATGCTGCAATCCACTCACAGCTTTAGCCAGGCCTTCATCATGGGCTTTCTTGTGTCCAGCATTGACAAGGCCATGCAGACAACACAAGCTGGTAAAGAGGCTGTCTCCCATGGCCTGGGCTGGGAAGAAACGGCAAGAAAAGGCCAGTGGTTTACTAACTCTCCTTGTGTCGTTTTACTGGCCTATAGTTAATTTCTCTGCCG